AAAACCCCAGAAGTTTCAGGCGTCCACTGGGGGCCTTGGGATGTATCCCCCATGGATAAGGGGGAACTACGGTGTAAAGGACAAGAGATGCTCCTACTGTTCTTATCACTTAGGATATTATAAGAGTTTTAGGAACTCTGTGCCAGGAACCGGGGGCAGAGGCCAATATATGGATTTTCTCTTATCTCACAGCCCAGCCCCTGGTCTCTGGCCGTGAACTATTTATATCAAATGATACACAGCTAAGAAGAAACCGGTGCTTTACTAGAATCTCATTCAGTCGTTAATAGCTCTCCAGTCCATCACCACATCATATGAAAAATGTCTCCCAGGGCAAGGCCCCTCAAGTGTGCAGACTTTCTATTCAACCTTAATAGGTTCCAGAAACCAGAGTGGTCTCAGCAACATATGGCTTCACCCTTTCAGGCATCTGATAAAATTGAGTTAAGAGACAATATCATGTCTTGCTCTGAGCCTCTTCCAAGGTGTTAATGTAATATTGGATTTCCCTCCTTACATAACCCAGTTTCTAAATGGAATGTCTATTGAATTGAATGGCTGTAGGTTGTGGGTTTTTCTGCGTGGACATATCTAGGTATGTATATCAATATATTTTTAAATATTGTAGATGTTAGTATTGATGTTTGGGGTTATTTATTTTCCATTGGAGCATTTTTTAAGTGTATAGTTCCACTAACTGGTTGCCCTATGTTGGTTCAGGAAGATCTTAGAGGAAGACATGAGTAAAGGTAGATTGCAAATTAGGAGGTAAATAAATCATACAGGTTTCCCCACTATCTAAAAGTAGAGCCTTCCTGTGGAATCTTTCGTAAGTGGAAATGGTGTAAAGGGAAGAAGCAGTTACCCTAGGACACACCTAGCTCACGGATGCACAAGGTAAACTGAGACAAAGTGCAGATGCTCACAGGCACAGTTCAAAGTCATGGCGGCTTGACGCCGAGATGCTGAGTGTAGTTCCCAGGGAAGGAGCTTGGGGTGCTACTCTCTCTGCTCGGGGTGCACGCTGCCTCCGTAACAGCTCACTGCAAAACAAACGCTGAATGCTATTTTCCCTTTTCACCGTTTTTCATAAAAGTGAAAATCCTCTTTGGATTTCTTTCAGTTAGGAAAAACAGGTACTAATGTAGATTTTTCATAAAAGATAAGTGGCGTAAAGGGAAATTTCGAAAAGCGGGGGACACCTGTATTTAGGTAATTGAAAGTAGTAAAGAGTGCTAAGAAAACCTGTGGTTGATCAGAACTGTAGGAATTGGGGATGTTGAAGAAGAGATGTACCTGGGATGGATGGTGACTTGCTAAACTGGTTCCCTAATTTGGACATTAAATAGTTAGTAGGGAGTTGTAAAGGGTGGAGGGATAATCTATAAACATTTATGCTTGAACCGATGTAGTCGAAATAAGGAGGAAGATGCTAAAGAACGATGTACTATTCTAGAACGATGATTCTCAAACTCTTTGAACAAGGCCTATGAGTTGGGGTGAGAAACTCTCATAACTTGTTGCCCCATCCACATCTTCTCAAGCGACTCTGTGATCTTGGGCAAGCCGTTTAACTTCTGTAAGCCCCTGCTTCCAGCAGGGAAAATGAGAGTGGATAGGTGCTTTAAAAGTGTACTAGCGGGAATTCCGGTGGTTAGGACTCTGCACTTCCACTGCAGCGGGCACAGATTCCATCCCTGGTGTGGGAACCGAGGTCCCGCATGCCGTGTAGCATGGCCAGAAAAACAGAAAGTGTACTAGGAGCAGGAAGGAGCTGAAGGACAGGTTGAAGGCAGTATGGACTCCCAGTCCAGTGCTCTCTTCCACGTCTCTCTCCCACTGAGCTTTGTCTTTATTTTAGCCTGTGAAAGTCTAGTCTTTAGAAGGAAAGCTATAGTTTCTTTTCAACAAGAAGAAAAAAGGATACCCAAATTATATTATCCTCAGCATTTCAGTGTTATGCTGAATGTCTCAATATTATATGTATGTTATTAAAAGAAGTTAATGTGGGATTAACAGATACACACCACTGTATATAAAATAGGTAAACATCAAGGACCTCTACTACATAGCATAGGGAAATATATTCAATATCGTGTAATAACCTATAATGGAAAAGAACCTGAAAAAGAATGTGTGTTTGAGTGTGTGTGTGTGTGTATATATATATATATATATATATATATATAACTGAATCACTTTGCTGTACACCTGAAACATTGAAGATCAACTATACTTCAATAAAAAAATAAAGATTAAAAAAAAAGAAGTGAGGTTTCTGGGCAGACAGTTTTCTGTCTTATGTTTTTGTTTCACCATCTCATATTTATTTTCAGTTTCTCATTTTCTTGTATAATTATGCTTATAAAACCAAAAACCTGACACTTCAATACAGGCATTATCCAGACTGAAGTCGTCAGTGCATCTGCTTTATACTCCTTTTCCCCCATTTTTCAGGTCCATGCCTGTGATACTTCCCAGTGCAACTGAAAGACGAAAACATTCTTAAGTTTTCCGTAAGACTTTTAGAACCTATTGTTAGCACGTCCTTGTGAAATTATGGCAGTTTTGTTATTTTATCGGTAAGATGTTGAAATTATCTCAGTGGTGTTAAATAGCAGGAACACTGTGTTAATTCTCTAACAAGGAAAGCCAGTCAGTCACTGGAACCCAGAGTTTCCTTGTGTTTTAAGTATAGTCAAAGAGGTGCATACTTACTCTAGCAAATCCTTTCTGGTAAAGGCTAGAGGTGAAATTGTCAGGAGGGGCACCTGCCCTGGAGTCCGTGCTTAGAGGAAAACACAAGGCCTCTCTTCCAGCCGCATGGCTCCCACAGGATGAGGAGTGTGCAAGGTGAAGAATTATCCACCTGGAGTTCAGGCGCTTTCCTTCACCACTGCCCTCCAGGTATCTGGAACCCCAGAATTCCCTGCCCAAATGGCCCCAAATCCGCTTCTATCCAGGAAGTGGCCAAGGCTGTTTATGCAGAGAGCAAGTAGATGAGCCTTAACATATGGGCTGGTGCACCTACACCTGCACAAGGCTCCACTCAGGGTCAGACAGTGGGGCTGAGAAGAGGGGCGTCAGGCCATAGGCAGTCAAGGGGGTGCTGCTGTCACCCCTCCGCCATCTTCCTGTGTGGAACTCTGAGGAGCTGAAGAATCCTGAATTCGAACCTAGCCTTCTAGGTCATTATGAAAGTATATTTCAAGGTGTAGCGTAGAACATATTTTATTTAGCAGTTATTTGTCTGATTTATAACTTTCACATATTTAGACATACAGATGGGGGTCTCATATTGTATTACCACTCCGGGTCCCAGGAAGGTCTAGAGGAAGGGATAAGGAGATCATTTGAACCTTCATTTCTTCTTGGGGGTGAGCCTAGGTCCTCTGATCCTTCGTCGGTCCAGTACTGGATTAGGCCTTCTGGGATAACTCTGGGGCGGTACCCTTAGCTGTAATCTGGTCTAAGCTTTGCCCTGGCAACGATGCACTCTAAAGTTTATGTGCATACCGAGCTACCATGGTGACAGATGGAAAGATTTAGTGACCAGGTTCTTTGGGAGCAAAAGGGACAACGGAAGAAAAGAATTGGATGAAACTGTGGCCAAAATGATTTCTTAGGATTCTATGTGAATTTTAGTTTTCCACTAACCATTCATTATTTGATGTAGGACCTTCACATCCTGAGGTCTGGAGTAAATCTTTCTGCACCTACTTAAATATTTTTAGGTTAAAAAGAAGAGCATAGGGGCTTCCCTGGTGGCGCAGTGGTTGAGAGTCCGCCTGCCGATGCAGGGGACACGGCTTTGTGCCCCGGTCCGGGAAGATCCCACATGCCACGGAGCGGCTGGGCCCGTGAGCCATGACCGCTGAGCCTGCGCATCTGGAGCCTGTGCTCCGCAACGGGAGAGGCCACAACAGTGAGAGGCCCGTGTGCGGCAAAAAAAAAAAAAAAAAAAAGCATAATTAGGATAATAAGATGCTTTATTAGGATTAATTCCTGACATCTCTGTAAATGCTATTTTATAAAAGAGAGGAAATTATGAAACAAAGTCTACTCTGGCATGCTGTTTACATCCGAAAGAAAATTTACAAGTGAAAATATTCATGCTTTCAGAACTTCTGTAACAAGATCTTCCAATCCAAGTGGTATTATTTTGCTCTGTATACAAATAATATTTCCTGAGCTTAGGGTATTAATTTCAAGTATTTCCCGTATTTATAGAAATACTTGATTCCTTTTGTTTATTTGTATTTTAGTACCACAAACTTGGCATCTTCAGTTTTTCACTTAAATTAATTTTCCAGATAATCAGAACTTACACCCTTAAACCTAAGTTTATTTTTTGTTTTAATCATTTTTTGACCATTGAAATGTTCTGTAATTCATATACATATGAATTTTGTTTGTGTATATATAATACACATATACAGAGACACAAGAATGTATTTTTCCTGCCTTTATCAAAGAAATATTTCTAAGTTATTGAATAGTGCTGGTATTGTTAAACCTTAAATATTTGAGTTTCAGGACTTTTCCATTCTGTAAGAAAAGAATTTAGAATGAGCTTTGTTATCAAATATCTTTCACATCTACAGTTTAATTATATAGCTGTTATAGGCTTAAAGGATGGAATTACTTTAAAAAGTAAATTTAAGAAGAAATAAACTAGACTTTAATGTCTTAGGCTATAATGGTTTTAACATGCTATAACAACAGACATGAGGAAATAACATTCATTTTATAGAGCTTATTTTTCAAATTACAGAAGTACTTACAGGTTTTAGAAAATGGATATCACAGGAAATAAAATGGAGAAAACTAACACTGTAAGATTTTCAAAATACTGACGAATTTTTTAAATGTCACAGGCCTGTTAGTGAAACTCAAGCTCACTAAAGAGCGAAAGCTGAGCCTGTGTTTTTGCGTGGTAGGTCTGAGGGTACTGCTTATTTAATTTATTCCTCACTAAGAGAAAATGAATCACTTTCTAGGTTTGTACTACAGAAAGTGCCAGTTAATTTCCAAGGAAGATGTGACTCATGATACGAAGCTTTTCTGCTTGATGCTGCCGCCAAGCACACATCTTCAGGTGCCAACTGGGCTACATGTTTACTTCAAGCTAACTATTACAGGTAAGGCAAGCAGAGGCTTTGCGGAAACATTTTCTTCTTTTATAAGCAGTTCGGAATCAGTACTAATCTCTCGAGGAAGCGCCCATTTAGGTTATTAATAAAATGTTTCTGGGCAGCTAGACTTAGTGATAGCCAGATTCTAGGTTTGTGGATGCAGTGATCCTACATGTGGGAACTATAGCTGTGCTGCATCACTGTATGAACAAAGAAATTATCACTAGTCACAGAGGTAGTGCCACCAGCATTGTAATTTATTACTAACAAAGCCTTAAAGGAAAGAGGTGAGGGAGCACACAAATGGTCTTCCGTGAAGACAACTGCCAGAAACACACACTAACGTCTCTTATTTAACCACTTACGGGTCTGTCATTTATGAAGTTGAATTTATAAAACTGAAAACGAGTGGATGATTATAAATGATTTCCTTGCATGTGCCACTAGTATTAGAAGCTCTGTAAACATACTCCTTACTGTGTAAATTCTTTTTCCCTCATTTTCGTCCTGAAATTACCTCATTTACTTGTTTTAAATACCTTTCTTAGCGATGTCTGACATCTTCTTAGCCTTTTGAAACTGCAGAAGATAACACTCCTAGCCTTTCCAGCAATCAGCCTCACAGACTACCAGCCAGGATTTGGTGACTATAGTTTATTATGATGACACTGTTCAGTTTTTCTCTTCATCATCACTAATGCCAAGTTATCATTCAATAGCTGGTATCTTCCCCAGTGTGGTTGTTGTCAATGTATTATGATTTACATATAGATTAATTTTTGTATATGTGATGGAACCATGTATAAAATTTTGGTCTTTCAAATATGTGGTGACTCCTCTTTCTTTGGAATTTGGCTGGCTAAAGTATGACTTCTTACTAATTTTACCCTGTTTTTTATTATTATATTCTTAGAAGTAGTTGGATTAACATTCCTCTCAGTTACCAAAGTAATATATAAAATATTAAATTGTTAAAACAATTCGAAATATATAAAGTAAAAAGTGAAATTCTTCCCTTCCTGGAATGCAAATGATCCCACTGGCCATTGGTATCCATTGTTAAAAATTTGGTATGTGGGGACTTCCCTGGTGGTCCAGTGGTTAAGACTGCATGCTTCCACTTCAGGGGGCATGGGTTTGATCCCTGATCGGAGAACTAAGATCCCACATGCCACGTGGTGAGGCCAAAAATAAATAAATAAAATAAAATAAAATAAAATCTTTAAAAAATTTGGTGTATAATTAAAATTATTATGTAAGTACCTTCTCGCATCTCTGTGTAAACTTTTAATGCCATTTTTGTTGTAGCCTATTACAAAGCTTACATGTTGATGGTGTAGATGGTTGTCTAAGTTTATTAACATAAAACCCCATCACCTTATGCCACGCTTAATAAAAACAGATTATTTATATTATGGGTAGATTACTGATTTGTTAACATTATCTCAGCACACATAGGTTTAGGGTATATATACATGTACTACATACATATAGAACGTAGAATTAAGTTCACATTAAGTGTACAGTTTTAAATATATACTGATAGCATCATAAAATTTGTATGCTTCATCTTCATTTAGATTTTTAGATTTGAATTTCTTTGTTGTGACTTTTTGCAGGTACTGAAATTGTGAAGCCATATACACCTGTATCTGATTCCTTATTCTCAGAGTTCAAGGAACCAGTTCTTCCCAACAATAAATACATCTACTTTTTGATCAAAATCTACCCTGCTGGACTCTTCACACCAGAGCTTGATCATCTTCAGATTGGTTAGTATATATATTTTTTAACCTAGATTGTGTTCTGGATTGGATCACATGTTACAGTTTCTTTTAGTTATTTCCCTGTGGGAGTCTGTCAGATATCTTAAACGCATCATGTCTGCAGCCAAAGTCGTGTTCTCTTAGTCCCACCAACCTATCCTTGCTTCCATATTCCTCATCTGTTATCTGCAGCATCACTGTTCATCCTCGACCCAATCTGGAGACTCGAGTCATCGCGGCGTCTTCCCATTTTCTCCCTCCTAATCCAGTCAGTCACTAAGTTTTATTGAGTCTACCTCTCAGTGACTTTTTAATCTTTCTTTTCTATCCCTTCTGCCACCTTCTTAGATCAAGCCTTCATCATTTCTCTCTTAATCTGTAATTGGTCTCTCTCAGTTGCCTCTAACTGGTATCTTTCTATTAATCTGCATTTTCCAGTTCTTTTTCCATACTGCCTTGATGATAGATTTAATCATGTTGCTCTGCAGCTTTGACGCCTTGGATGGGTCTCCATAACCTGAGTAGCACAAGTATTTTGTACGGTGAGAGGTGAAGCTGGAAAAAGCATCCAAGTCTTTGCAGGTCACGAAGAGGACTTAATCAGTTAGTCCAGAGGTTTGTCATCCTCATTCTTAGGTGCTTGAGTTTTTTAGAATGCCTCTCTCTACCTGTCAAGTACCTTTTTAAAAATATTTTTTAAAAATATCACTTACTTTATGAAGCCTCCCTCCTCTTCTGAACCCCTTGGTAACTTAACACTTTGTTCATTGATCTAGGATAAGAATAAATAATATTCCTTCTTTACAGGATTTTGAGTTCAAGGATAGATATGTCTTATCTTTGTATTTTCCATACCCAGCAGGGCAGTTAGCGCATAACAGGCTGTCAATAAAAGTACTATGAGAGAATTAATAAAGGGACTATAAGGAAATCTACTAATATTTAGAGACCGCCCCCCTTCCTGTTTCTACTCCTTTTTCTGTGTCTTCAACTTTTGACTGCCTTTTGCGTAACAATACAAGAGCTCTTCCCCTTTTAAGACAGTATTAGCAGTAATATCGAGTGAAGTAGATCACTAAAATTTGGAAATAGAGAAAATTTGCTGCTCTCTGAAAGTTAAGCTCAGCAGTCTACATATAATAGATGTGATGAGTCATCTTTGGTTACATAAATCAAAATATTGGACATAAATGTGAACCTAATGAATTTTGGAATACCTACATATCTAGTGAAGGTGATATCACCTTGTGAAGGACTGACAACATGATTGTAATATAGCAGCTGGAAACTTAACTGATGGTATTATAACCTATCCATAGAGATTGTGTAGCAGAGAGCAGGGTGGAGAGTCAGCATAGAGCATGGGAAAGGAAAGCCAAAGTAGCAAGATCAGTGTTTTTTCAACTTCATCTAGGGGAACTAGTCATGACACAGATACTGGTGCCACTTAGAGGGTTGTACACTGGCATGGCAGTGGTAACTCATGAAGTCTCAATATGGCCTATGTGAGCTACCCTATAAAATTATCCACTTCTTTGTTTCAATTCCATGTTCATCAAGCAACTTTTAAACGATTATTTTGCCCTTCCAAATGTTCCAAATGTTTGGTCTTCCAATACTGGGAATGAGATGCCCTGGATGGGGCATGTAAGGCTCAGGTCACTAGATGCAGGTAGTCAGGCTGAAAATCCATTGCCATTCTGGCATGTGTGCTTTAATCTCTTGTGAACTTCATTAGCATCGAGTCCTTGCCTGAGTCTAATCAATTTTATGACATTGGAAGGACTGGACTGTGGACAGAAGTTATCAAGTTAATATCATTCTGTGAGGCTGCTTTAGTAAACAACCAGCTGACTTTTTCCTGAGGATGTCTGATCTTATGGTCCCTTTCAAACTATAACAAGGAGCTTCTGTTACTTTCTAATGTTTAACTCATCAATTACTACAACATTCTTACTCTCCTGCCATGGACAAAAAAGGGAAAAATTATGAGCATCCAAACATTTAAAAATAAACCAGAGCATTTGAAATTGTTTTTAAAATATGGTCAGCTTTATTTTGTATTTTTAAAGTTACATTGAAAATTTCTGGAATGTCCTAAAGACAATTCTCTTATATGAGTGGTACATAGCGATTATATCAACTGCATAGCAGAAAAGGGTTTATTCAACTGTTTTGATTGAAAATTTGGAAGTAGCATGCCCCAAGTACAGTTTCTGATCGTGCTTTGTCTTTATGGGAATTAAATGCAGAACAGCTCTTGTTTTAATTGATAGGTATTTTCAGAGATTTGATGGAGGCAAAGTTAACACTTTTACTAACAACATAAGATATTAGAATACATTTCCATTTCAATTTTCTCTCCTACTACGCTTATTAATGTGGTTAAGAATCAGTATGTAAGTAGTGAATGTGTATTTTCCGCCCTATACTGTGCAAGACAGGTATACTCGGACTCTGCTTTTGAAGTGCCTAGTTTTAGTTTAGCAATCAAGCCTTTATTGATAATTTGTAGTTAAATATTTGGCAATAGTTTGTATGTTAGAGACTCCAGTTGATTTGGGAAAATAATATTGGGAAACGAGTATAATGAAATCTCATTATTAATTTGATTATAATGATAATTTGAGTATAATGACATACTTTGGAGCCTAATGAGTATTCTCAAAACCACTTACATTCCTTAAAAACTGAGATGTAGTCTGATAATTATGCAACCTGTTTCTCCTCGTGTTCTTAATTCAGCTAGGTTAACGGTCTTATTTTTTTTTTCCTGATTTTATGTATATTTCATTGTTTAGGAGATTATGTTTCTGTAAGCAATCCCGAGGGCAATTTTAAAATATCCCAGTTCCAAGACTTGGAAGATCTCTTTTTATTGGCAGCGGGAACAGGCTTCACACCAATGGTTAAAGTACTGAGTTATGCTTTGACTAATATACCCAGTCTCAGGTATGTCATTTTGTCTTTAAGTACTACCCCTTGTAAGACTGCTAGATTAGTAGAAGGTATTCTAAATCGATTAAATACTTAGTGGACCTCAACAGACATGTTATCCCTCAGTCGTCATTTCTCACTCTTCTTCCTCCACTCCAAGCTGTTTTATTTACTTGATTCCTTTATTTTCGATATTTTTGGTTACCTAATTGGCACTAAAAAAACATTCATGCTAGTTCACTTTTAGACTTTCCATTCATGCATATTTTTTAATTCTATAATCGAAATGGTACCTTTTGAATTGTTGTTGTTTTTTCTTTTAAGGAAAGTGAAGCTGATGTTCTTCAATAAAACAGAGGATGACATAATTTGGAGAAGCCAATTGGAGAAATTAGCATTTAAGGATAAAAGGTATAAAAGTGGCATTAGCTCTGTTTGTAAATATTCTTACAGGTTTAGTCAGTTGATACCCTGCCTCCTTTGGTTGGAGTTTTTAACTGACCAGGAAACTCCTTCAAACAAAAATAATCACTAATTCTCTTAAAAAAAAAAAAAAAAAAAAAACTAAATGTAAGTAATGTTAGTACACCTCTCCCAAAGAAGTAGTTTGATAAAGTCAATGTGACATCAGAGATGTATCACTAAAATATATACTGGGCTTTATGTTTATGTTATGTTGTGTATACTGAGTTAGGTTTCATTGAAAATGATCCAGTGTAGCCAATTTGGTAATTCAAGATTTTCTTGTTATAATGGGGACAGATCAGATAAATCTGGTGAGGTAGGTTAAGCAAAAATAAACATGTTTTTTTACTACAGGATTTCTTAGAGCGTTTACTATGCCAATGTCCATTGTGACTTTCCAAGAAGGGGATTCCTTCTGCATTGTTTAGCAAGATTCTCTTCATTTTTTTCGTTCACATTAACACGTATTAAATATCATTAGTGGTCCTCAGTACACACTTTGGGAAATGCTGGTATAGGTAATAGAAAAAAGTCTGAGTCAGGCTGAATTCAGTGGTAAAATGAGGCAGCAAGGACAGCAAGGTGGCAATTTGTTTCATTGAAAAAAGAGCCCTAGCACAGTCCAAGGAAGTGAGATAATTTAACCACGCATACGCCCCATCTCCCCTAAAGAGGTATGAAAGCAGTTGGAAATTCAAAACAAAATTTTCAGAAGAAGAATGAATTGGACAAGCTGTCATATTTCTGAAGCATTTTTGTAATCATTGAAAACTATTTCTAAGAATTGCAGAACTTCGTAAGTCATACAAAATATCTGACGTAAGTATTTATGTTTATGACAGTATGGTGGAGATAAAGTTCTTGACATTTTAATAGTTAAAGACCTCAGAAATCCAGCTGTCCCTGGGGCTCCAGGTTCTTCTGAATATTTTCTGAATATCCTCACTAAGGTGATGCCGTGGTTCCTTCTAGTCTTTTCCTCTCTGTTGTCTCCCATCCTCCCCCTCTTTCTCTTTTAGTAAATAATTTGCACAAATGAAGGACGACCTGAATTTAATCACCGAAGTGTTTTCTCACATACTTAAAACATAAACCTAAGAATATGTACTATACTTAAGTAGTTGCACAGCAATTTAGAGCATAATTTAAAGAAATAGAAATTCCTGGGTTTTTCAAGTGTCTTTTTCACTAATTTTCAAAGTGGAATATCGGAAGCAGCATTTATCAAAAAGCCTAAAGACCTATATTCTGGTTTTCAGTCTACCCTTAACTAGCTTGAAACTGTATTCAAAAATTAGGTAGCTCTGTGGGCCTGTCCCTTTATTTTCAAAATAGAATAATGACATCTTTCCTATTTACTTCATAAGCCTGTTGTGAGGACTAGAGAAGATAGTGCAAATGCTTAGAAATTGTGAAGCCCTGCCTCAGATATTTGGGTTGCTGTTATGAAGGACCTCTGTATACATGTGTTCCTGTATTGACTGTTTGAGCTCCTCTTTCCTAAACAAGCATTTAAAAGACTTTAAGCAGACGTAGCTACACTTTTTTAGCTAGGTTTTTTAAAAAAAGTATTTCTGGAAGTTTTGGGACATGGTATTCTTCAAGATAGTTTGCTTGTACAAGAAGAATTCATTTACTATTATTTCAGCAGACATTGTACTCTTAGTCTATCCATTGATGTTAAACTCGACGTAAGAAGTAACGTGTATACGTATAACTGAATCACTTTGTTTTACACCTGAAACTAATACAACGTTGTTAATCAACTACACTCCAATATAAAATAAAAAGTTAAAAAAAATTTAAAAAAAAAACAAAGAATTGGTAGAAAGGCATGTGTTACAGCTTCTGAACATGAAGTGCCCTTTAACAACATCCCCTGTGTGTTTTGTTTTGTCTTGCTTGGTCCACATAATTTGGGTTGCTGGAATTGCATAGGCTGCAGGACTGAGGATGAGGAAAGGCCCCTTCTTTTTCACTTCTGGATGACTGGCTCTAAGTGAGTGAGACGCTCCAGTGTGCTGGGAGGAGTGAGTGTTTTGCCTCTGGCCTGCCTTTATCCTCTCTCTTCTGCTCGCTCGCGCTCTCCCTGCTCTCACCTGCCTGCTCCCGCTACTGTGCGCTCTCTGCTCCCTCCCTTTCCTTCCACTTTCTGGGGGTACACTCTCCTTGCTGGGGGCCCTCTACTGGCACTGACTTCCAGCCTCGAATGATCTGTGCCCCCCTGGAGACTTGGGGTCAGACCCTCACTGGAAAACACAAAGGCCTTGGGGTCAGACCCTCAGTGGGAAACACAGAGGCCTTGTGTGTGTACGTGGCTTTGAAACATTTGTCAGGAACCTTCCATATTCTCAGGTTTTATGCAGATAGAGGAGAAACCTAGCCTTATAGGTTTCTCCTCTCGGTAGTACTGTTCTCGGTAGTACTGTTCATTCAGAGCATAATTGTCGAGTACTGTTCATTCAGAGCATAATTGTTGGCTCTCGGTAGTACTCTCGGTAGTACTGTTCATTCAGATGGCTCTCGGTAGTACTGTTCATTCAGAGCATAATTGTTGAGTCCCATACACGGAAGGAAAGTGAAAGTTCAAATTAATATAAGGTAGCTTTAATTTGTCACATCTGTCATTTAATTAACATTTAAGGCTTAATTTTTTTTATCTGTTAAACCACCCTTTCCTACATGTTGACTCTCCAATGTCACTGCTCGTTTTAGTAATAAAGTTTCTGATGGCAGAATGTGAAACTTGAACACATCTCCTTGGTTAAATTATTATTGGATTGTGACTATTAAAAAAATAAGTTCTATAGTTAAAACAAATGAAATACCTTACTCTCTGTAGGATTAGGACACAGCTTTCCATTCAATCCTTTGGGGAACAAGGAGGGATAGGAAAAATGTATACTGAGACTGGTGTATTATCTAATATTTTCATTTTCAGCAAGCATGCTGTGCTTGTCCTCAGAGTTTATCCAAATAATATAGTTAGCAAAGGAAATTCTTCGAAATATTGTTGTATGATGGAAACTTATTAACCTGTGACCTCAGGCAAGTCACTTGATCTGAGGGAGCTTCAGTTTTTCCATCTGGAACAGGGACATCGATATCTCCATCATAGGGTTGTTTGGGAGTGGGGGCCATGAGATAGCGGATGTGGGTGCCTCGCCCAGAATTAGCATATTTGTAACATTCATTTACTCATGAATTTCCTGTGAGCGTCTCCCAGGTGCCTGTATGGGGGTATAACAGGGAACAGGATATTGTGTTGGCTTATCTTCTCATGCAATCCAGGGAATGGATCTCTTCATTTTCCCATGTTGCTAAACTTAGAATTGCCGGAAATAGGTGGACGATTTGTACTCTTTCAGGATGTTTCTGTTTCAATTCAGTTTTCATGTCATTAAGCATAAAATTTCAACAGAAAAAAAAAAAGTTAGCTTGCCTGAATTTTATCCAAATATTTTATTACACTTGACTGTTAACTCCAGTAGAAGGTAAATATGTACAGCAGCAGGGGTAGGTAATTACTATGTAAACGGAAATCCAAATTAAATTTCACTTATCTCTGTCTCCACGACTGAGCAGTGTTATGAGGCCTGGTTGACTCAGTCTTACACGCTGGTACTCCCCCCTCCCCCAGTAGAATGCGCCCGCCCTGAGTTCTCTGCTTTTGCAGAATTCTTTTTGAGGTGCAGGACAGTTTGACAGTGAGATTGACTTCTGGATGGCATTTTGTAATATATAAATAGAATAAGTATTTTCCTTCCCTTTCAAAGCAGTCATGTTTGAAGATAATAACCTTATTTTAGTAAAGTTAGTAGCATATTCTTTTCTATAAATAGTAGAATTTGATGATTTGCTGATTTTCCCCTGTTTATAAAATTAATACATATTTGTATAGAAAAATATATAAGGGAAAAGATCACCCATAATCTTACCACCCAAGGAACAACATTATGGTTTGTATCTTTCCATTCTCCTTCTCTCTCTTTCTCTCCCTCTCTCTCTCACAGACACACACATACACACACACATGCACGCACTTATACACTTAAATGCGCACATTATTTTTTTGTATTTTTAAATAATGTAGCCATACTGACTATACTTTTTATAACTACATTTTTAGTGAATTGTGTGTATTCTATGTATAGAACACTTTCAACCTGTGGCTCTCGACCTGGAGTGATTCTGTTTCTCCCCGCCTGACACCCTGACACCCTAGGGGGACATTTATGTCTTGAAACGTTTTTGATCGTAACAACTGATGGAAGGGGTTCCCCTGGCACCTAGTGGGTAGAGACTGCTAAGAGCCTACAAGAATGCTGTTAAGAGCCTCCAGTGCACAAGACAGCACAGGACAGCAAAGAATTATCCTGCCCAAACTGCCAGTAGCGCTAGTTGGGAAAACTCACACTACACCATGATTTTTAATAGCTGCATTGTATTTGGTCTTGAGTTCATACCATAATTTGTTTAACCAACCCTCTACTGTTTGACATAGTGAGTACAAATTTTTCTGTACCTCTCTAACTATGCAGGATAAAGGTTCACCAGAAGAATCACTAAGTCAAAGGCCTATTGATCCACTTTGACAGTAGCCTCTCGAAGGTAAAGGTTTTTCTATATTCTGGTGTCAGTTTGGGGACCAGCAATGTGTAAGTCCCATTTAAGACAGCAAAATCCAGTGATTCCAGAAGCACAAGTAAGTTAAACAAGGTGCTTGAACGCCTTTCTTTTTCCCCAGCCTGTGAGGCAACTCAGATATGTGGGCCCCTAATCTGGACCCTATACCACTCTCTGTTCCTCCCAGATGTTCCTCCAGGGGTGGTGTTTTTTTTTGGATTTTCTTTTTTACTGAAGTATAGTTGATTTACAATACTGTGTTAGTTTCAGATGAACAGCAAATTGATTGAGATATATATTTTTTAGATTATTTTCCATTATAGGTTATTACAAGGTATTGAATACAGTTCCCAATGATTTTTGGTTTTTTTTTTAAAATTTATTTATGTTTTAGCTGCATTGGGTCTTCGTTGCTGCATGTGACCTTTCTCTAGTTGCGGCGAGCAGAGGCTACTCTTCATTGTGGTGCGTGGGCTTCTCATTGCGGTGGCTTCTCTTGTTGCGGAACATGGGCTGTAGGCGCGTGGGCTTCAGTAGTTGTAGCACGCAGGCTCAGTAGTTGCGGCAAACAGGCCCTAGGGCACGTGGGTGGCTCGCGGGCTCTAGAGCGCAGGCCCAGTAGTTGTGTCACACGGGCTTAGTTGCTCCGTGGCATGTGGGATCTTCCCGGACCAGGGATTGAACCCATGTCCCCTGCATTGGCAGGCGGATTCTTAACCACTGTGCCACGAGGGAAGTCCCAGGGGTGTGTTTCTTGGAATGTGTTCCTTGAAATATTTATGTGTTCCCCCTAAAGGGCTCTATGATTAAATAAGTTTGAGAAATAATGTATACTATGTTATCTTCTTGAAGTTTAATATGAACTTAGCATATTCAAGGCTTTGAGAAATTCTAAACAAATCTATTTAACTTCTCTTAACCCAGTAGTCCCAAACTTATTTGCCAGGTTAGCCTTTTGTTTTCATGGACAACCACTAACATTTGGAGGAACACACGTGTTTAATCAGATTCGTTTTGAGAAATATTTTTAACCCCTAGCTGTTTATTTTGTGAGCTGTTTTTCCCATGAGCAAATAGCAAGTTTTTCTGCAGATTCTAGTATTTTTCTTTAGCTAGAGAAACCAGGAAAAGCTGGGGCCCCAAATACTCTGAAGTACTACTTTGTGGGCAGTGACAAGCCACTGAAGCTTTAGCAAAGAAGTTGTGAGATTGGATCTGGGCTTTTAGGAGAACTCGTATAACAAGGATATGCCAGATAGATGAGGGTAAGCTTATTAGAGTAGCATCTTAGACAAGAGATAGAAGGGCCGGACCTGGAGTTGTGGCAGTAAAATTGGGAAGGCAGGGCTATGTATGTTTGTTTAAGAAATAGGAAGGAGTGGGTCTGGGAAGCTGATTGCCTGGAGGAGGAGGGAATACGCTGTTGAATGACTTCAGGCTTTGCATATGGTTTAGACTGAATGCATACATTTATATTTCAAGATTTTTTAATCTCAGGTCATTTATCAGCCTACTTTAAAGTAATTTGTTTTGGACAAGCTTGTTTACTTCCATTGACATTTAGACCTCATAGGCATTCATCAGAAGCAGGTCTCTCTCTCTCTCTCTCCCTCTCCCTCCCTCCCTCCCTCTCCCTCTCCCTCTCCCTCCCTCTCTCTCTCCCTCTCCCTCTCCCTCTCTCCCTCTCCCTCTCTCTCTCTCTCTCTCTC